TAGGCCATACATCGCTGCCTGCATTGCTGTATTCACTTTTTTTTCAAAGTATGAAGGTAGTCTTTTATGTCACTCTCACCTCCCATTCTTGGTTTGAGATATTACCTCGTTGGGAGTTCAGGGACTAAAGATAAAGCTCCTCAGTTTGCTTGATTTATTTTTTGAAGGCCACACAGAGCCCAGACTTTCATCCTTTGCCTTCTTGTCTCACAGACGCACTCACCAAAACAACATGACATCTCAAGTCAACAGCAGTGATTTAAACTCCACCATGGGGACCTGGAGGGGAATAGCTGACTTTGATTCTTCAAATTAGAATTTCCCATTGCACAGTTTCTTTTGCAATGCTCGTGCGATATTAGAGGTCAGTCAGTTCTTGACCACTTTTGAATGAGAATCATGGCAGCGACTGGTGCAAAGCAGAGCAATGTGGGAGAGAAGGCTGGATTCCCACCAACTACATCACAATAAGACAAGGAAGGTAAGTCACGATTGAAGAGAATGAAGCATTTCTGTCGTGTTTCATCAACTGGTTGTGATTCTCATTACTGATTGATTTGCTAATTTCCTTTATGATTAATGGTTCTGTCTTTAAAATGTAAAATAGTCCAAGGTAACATGTTCAAATTGCTTGTTGTGTCCAACTAAGTCCAAAGAGTATCCGTACAATGATATATAACACTGAAAAGCAGCAAACGGGAACCAGCAAAAAGCTTTCACAATACTTTGTGACACATGGAATAACCCAAGACCCAAAGGACTCTTACTGGGATATAGCTCTGGAAGTAAACAGATGGCTTAAAAGACCTTAGTTTGCACAGTTAGCACCATTGGCTGCAAGGAGGCAAATGCCCCTCGTGTTTAGCAACTTTAAAACATTATGACTTTGAAAGATAAACGCTTAATTTGTCTTACTCAGACTGCTGAAACCTCATATTAGCTTGAGCTGAATTTAAGAATGAATTTCTCCAAACCCAAAGGTAAGTGACGGGGATTTTGTCCCCTGAGAGCAACTTCCAGGTACATGTGGACACTCAGTAATGAGCTGACGAGGACTGTCCGCCTTTGCTTTGGTCTGTAGGGCGTCTCATTGGCACCGGTTCAGCCTGGCTTTCGGGTCGTGGGAAGAACACACCTCGGGGCCGGCCACTTCCTTTGAAGATTTCAGCCAAGAAACAGTGTTTCTGAGCACATGAAGTTCCAAATCAATAACTAAGAAGCGCTGGAGAACTGACAACTGGAAATTATGAGATTATTAAAGTGCCGTCAACCTTTGCGATATATTTTTGCCATCGAGGCGATCCTAACATTCTTCCTCAGAGTTAAGATTTCAGCAACTATAGTGTCAAGCACTCTTAAAATGGTCATTTGTGAAGCGCAAGTTATTGTTTTTTTTTGTGTTTGTTCTGCTGAATTTGACAGCTGGTTTAAAAGGAACATGTCTCCAGCCAAAGCTGGGGAACTGCTGAAGAAACAGATATGACGGAGCCTTCTTCGTCCTTGAGAGCCTGAATACTGCAGGGGATTTCTACATTGCTGTCAAGTCAGTTAACATTTCAATTAATCCAACATAAAGTGTATATTTTATAGACTGGCGCACACACACACACACAGACACATACTAGGCCCTTTACACCAGCAGCCATTTTGACATGTGGGAAACACAGGCGTAATAGACACAATGAATTATGGTACGATTCTATTTAGGGTGCCACAGTCATTCCAGCATGCACAATACCAAGGCCCGGACCCACCTAAATGGAACAAGGACCGGATTAATGATATTCATTCACACCTGCATGTGTTTACCTTAGAATGACATGACACAATGGCTTTATTGTTGTATGTTTACACTGATACAATTTCAAATCCTGCAAATAGTTCATATTATTCTGCAATGTATTTAATTGAGTGTGCTCTAAATGAAACCGTGACAATAACATAATTGGATAAACATGATGAGGAATTGAAGGATACATTTGCGACTAAGCTTTGAAAAAGCTTTAATTAGAGCGCTTCATGGTGGAAAAAGAGAGAACAATGTTCTTTTGTGTGTGAGATTCTGAACTCTGGCATTTTCTCACATAGTCTTTGTTTTTTAAAAGAATGCAGCTATTTCCCTCACAATACCAAAGCGGGAGATAGAGACGGTGACAAAAAGAAAACGTTTGAATTTTTTTCCAATTTAATTTGCAGCCAGCCTGCGCTACACACAGTCGAAGGCTATGAAACTTCAGACAGACTAACGTTATTGGGACTCCCACTACTTTTCTTGACAAGACCCGTCCTGCGTAGCATTTAAGCACTGGAATTGGCCAGGCATCTATGCTCGCCGACTTACCGGTAACCTGATTTGCTCTGGAGCTATGCCCCGACCAATGGGCTATCCTGACCCTAACTACTTCAGGTCAATGCCTAACCTTAACCAATCGTCTCTGCCTCAGCTGGCTACACAGGCAGGTCTCGCCAGAAATGTATGGGTTCATAATTACGCCAGACGGAGAAGAGATCACGCTGCACACACACCAATGACGTCATCAACAGGATGCAACTTTAGTGAAAAATGATGAACAAACTTTTTAAATAAATGGAAAAAAACAGACAACTGTACAATAATGGCAACCTGAAATTAACAGGAATTTTAAGTGATTTTTTTTCAAATATTCGTTACACTTTCATGACACTTGCCTCTCTCCACCCGCTCCTAATAGAAAGCTTAGATCAATAGTCCTGTCTTAGTTGCCTCTACTATTTGTCCATGCGTCCATTATGTGTTATAGTGAAATTCAATTTTTTTAAATTTAATTTAATTATTTTATGTCAGAAATTATACACTGAGAGCTCGATACAGTTAAAAACAATCTGTATACTGCACAGATTTCTAGACAGTTTTGTGTTGCCCGACTGGCCTGCCTTGGCCGAGGTGAATTCCTTCTGTCAATCTGACAGCTTGAGTGTTTATCTCTTCAATGTTTTGTCAAAGCAAGCTGTCACTCTCTCCTGCGTGTGTGTGCTGGAATATGAAAAAGACATTTAATTTGAGCTCTGGCCTTTGCTGGGTCTTATGATGCAACTTGATGAAACACACACAGGGCTTCATTTCCTCCGTCTCTTTTATATAGTGCAGCCAGAGTTTGAAAAGTTGCCTTCTGCATTTCAATTGTAATGAATTAACCAAGCAATGTCTGTATTTCATGTGTTTTTATTGTGTCCGCCTGTTTTTTATTGGATTATATATATTTAACCTTAGCAGCCTATTACTCATCATTAATAGAGAAAAATAAGAACAACCCCATCAGACAAAGGACTTGTCTCTGTTATTGTCTTGTTAGACCTTAGTGCTGCGTTCAACACCATTGACCATGTGGAGATATTTTATTTCTCCTATGAGGACACACTTGCTGAACCTTGGCCAGGTGCAACAGCACAGGAAGAACTAAAGAACGAAGGTTCTGATTCAACAACGGGCTCAGTATATGAGGACGCACTTTCGTTTCTGAATGTATCCGGTTTCGGCCGTCCACACGAAGACGCAACCCCGGAGTTTTCAAACTCCTCCGACCTCGGGAGCGTTTTCAAACTCCTCTGTTTACGGTGCTCTAAAACTCCGGCGTAGTGTGGATGCTCAGTGTAAACGTAGCAAAACATATGCGTTTCCAAACAAAAACGGAGTAATGTGGACATGGCCTCAGTAAGAGCTGAATAAACTGCGTTCGTCCTCGCCACATAAACCACACAAAGATCAAGAGATAAAGAATGCAGAGGACCACTGTGACACATTGTGGCACACACACACACAAAATGCTGCTTTGTTTCACTGCTTAACATGACAAAGAATATTAAATACACACCGTAGGTCCTCTCTGCCACCACGTGGCCACACAGTAAAAGGTTTTGGACTTCTTATGGAACATTTGGCAGGTTGTGAAAGCCAGATGTGTTTTGGATATGGTACCAACGGTAAAGTACAGACACATAAAGCTATGAGTGTGATGACGTTTATTGGGCAGGCCATCTTGTAAATGTCCAATATTCACAGTTTACACATTATATCTACATTTTATTCACTGTTTGTTTACTCCTAAGTGATATATCTGGGTCTTTATATTTTGAAATCTTGAGAAAAAAATTGTGGGACACGTAAAATTAAAGGGAGTTCCAGATATCTACGTATCTCCAACAGGCTGTCAATCCAAGTTATCAGTGTTTACAGCAGAGATAGTGGCAACCATCTCTGGCTTGCAGTGGTTTGAGATCTGCCAGGGTGGGGGTTTGCTCAGAGTCAGCTGTCTTTAAAAGCATACAGTCAACAATGAGGGATTATTTGCACATTGAAATTTATGTTTGGTAAGACTACACAGGTGGTGGAGATGTGCAGTTCTGTTGAGTACCAGCACACAAGTGGCTGAAAGAGAACAAGTGTGCGGATAAGCCAGCAGAAGGAGGTCTTACAAAAGGAGACGGAGAAGCAGTGATTAAGAAGAAAGGAATGGAATTGGGATGAAGATAGAAAAGGAGGTGACACAAAATACAAAAGGCATCGAAAACTGCTCTTAAGAACGAAACAAAAGGGAGGAATTCTTAAAATTTAGATTGGTCCACACATGTTGAACAGGCACTTTGTTTGTGCTAGGGGAAAGGAACAAATGTTGAGATAAATAAAATGTAGAACCTAATTTATTTCACCGCACCGCGTATGAAGAGGACAAATTGCATTGTAAAGTTTTCCCTTTTTTTTTTTTAGATAAAACAGGTTTGGTGGGGAGGACATACGAAATATAGTGAAACACATTCCTGTACAATAGGTGGCGGTATGCAGCTGGAAGCTGTTTGCGAGCCGCTGTTCAAACCCGGGAAAGAACATGAAGAAGAACGTGCATTCAGCAACTCCCATTTGTCCGACAGCAAGTGAAGGCAGCACCGGTCACGCGTTGTTTGTGTTAGAGTGGAAATATGGCGGACGATGGAGAATCGCTGGAGTCCTGGCTCAGTAAGTACATACTTAAACTCTTTTTTCACGGCGTTTATTCACATAAGAGGTGCGCACTAATGTGCTGTGTGGCCGCGGGTGTCCGAAACAAGAGTTGGACTCAAATGACATTGCTTGAGACTGAAAAGTATCGAGCTAATTCGCCTGTGTTGTCGTAAAAAGTGGCTAACGCAGACAGCTGCTGGGCAAACGGCGACTGATGGACGTCGCTAGCAGAAATATGCTCTCATCTTCGGTTTACACTTGTGACCTGGACTTAAAGTCGGTGTGTTGAAATGCTCGGGAAAAAAAACGTGATTATTCTGTTAGCCTTTGCATCTGCTCCCTGGTGTTGAAGGCTGCTGTTGTAAACATCCCCAGGCGTTAACGTAACCGAGTTAAAACAAGTCTTGCATGAACAAACTGCATTAGTGAAGCGCCTGGAGGCTGTTTAAGAGAGAATCAATAACCTAAGATGAGCTGAAAACGTTGGATAACAGCTGTCTTGGTTGCTGTTGTAAGCTAGTCTATGAAGCGACGCTTGATTTAAACCTTCATATAGTTCATACATCACAAAGCTCCAGCCTTCATTAGCCTTAAAGGGGCCGCGTAGACCGTTTACCACAGGTGTATCTATTAGGACGAGTTCAAATGTGCTATAAGAGTACAAAAGATCACATCCTTATCTTTTTTTTTTTTTTCCTTATTTTTCTAGACAAAGCCACAAACCCTTCCAACAGACAGGAGGACTGGGAGTATATAATGGGATTCTGTGACCAAATCAATAAGGAACTGGAAGGGTATGGTCACACGGTTCACCCACAATATTGAATTAAGCCCATCATCTGTGTCTTCATTGTGCTAAACACGTGAAGCTTATTATACAGGCTGCTGCAGCCCAGACTCTGGGTGGCGTTTTCTTACCGAGTGTGCATTGGATTGTTCTGTCATATTTTCCAGCCCACAAATATCCGTCAGGCTGCTGGCTCACAAGATCCAGTCCCCTCAGGAGTGGGAGGCGATACAGGCATTAACGGTCCGTAAGTGTGATTCCCTTCGCTGTGTTTTATTTTTATTCACATATCCAACCTGCATGAAGTGGAAGACGATATTTACCTCAGGTCGCTCTCCTTTTTGCAGGTTCTCGAGGCTTGTATGAAGAACTGCGGGCGACGGTTTCACAATGAAGTCGGGAAATTTAGGTTTTTAAATGAGTTGATCAAGGTGGTGTCACCCAAAGTAAGTCACACAGAAGTTCCTCTAATGGGGTTATGTTTCCTTGAATTTGAAGTTTTGATGTCGTTCTAAACTGTGCATCTTGTTGTTGTTCAGTACCTCGGGGACAAAGTGTCAGAGGGAGTGAAGACCAAAGTGATCGAGATGCTGTACAGCTGGACTCTGTCTCTACCGGATGAAGCAAAGATCCTTGAAGCGTATGAGATGCTGAAGTCACAGGGTGAGACACCAGCCGCGTAAAGGCCGAGAGAATATGCGGATACGATTTAATACACGGTAAAACAACATGGTTGCATAATAGTGACATCCAAAAATAAAACGCCGAGCAGTCGTTTATGACAGTGTTGTGCTTTGGACTCTCATTGTGTTGCCACGAAGCCCTGAAACTGTCACTTCCACAGAATAATAGCCGTCCGTTGTCGTGTTTATTTTAGGTATTGTTTTAGCTGACCCAGAAGTCCCTCTTGATGCTACATTAATACCATCGCCTTCTCCGCGACCCAAGAATCCCGTGTTTGATGACGAGAAGAAGAGCAAGGTAAGAAGAGTTATTTCTGGACGTGAACGCCGCAGCTCACTCACTGCAAATACCTCTCTTTCTCTTGTTTAATCTGTTATAAGCCTAAAACGTTGAATTGCTCCCTTTTAACTTTTCTTTATGTATGCGGCCCATTTTTATGAGAAATAAAATCTTTAAAATAAATCACGTAATTAACCAGCAAAACAAGTCTTTCATAGCAATATACCTTCATGTTCTTTTCATTATTTAAAGGCTAACTGGTGTTTTTGAACCTGAACCCTGTTTTTCCCTCCATTTTAGTGTCCGGTGTTGACGGATTAGTACAGACACTAAACGGGCAATGATGGGCTCAATTTGTTAATATAAGTGCAGAGCAATAAGACTTTCTGCTCACATCTGTTTGCTATTGTGTAATGGGACAACAGGAGTGAGAGTTGGAGAGAAGAGCGCGCCAGAGTTTGTTGTTTTTTTAATGTCATGGCTGAATAATAAGCAGATTTCGACAGCGTGGATGTGACGTGAGATTTCAGAACGAGAAAAACTGTCGGGTCGTTTCCATAATGTTATCCATAATGACACTTACAAGAAAATCTGAGCTGGTCAGTGGCAAAAACAAGCACTTTTAGTGGACGTACGATAGCATTGCAGCCCGTTTAGTGGCTACCAACTGCAGCGTTCTCTCTCAATACTGGACCACTTTAAAAAAAAAAAAAAAGGTTACCAAAAACATGGGTACATTTTAAAAAAAAAAAAAAAAAAAAAAAGGGTAAGTAACCCTTTAATGGAGATTTTTGTGACGGGATTTTCTCACTACACACTGTCCTTTTGAGAGGTTTCACATGATTTTCTCACTCTCTTTCTTGCCCTCTCTCTCGCTATTCATCTCTGACTAAAGCCTGTAACATCCCACAGAAAAATTGGTCATACTTGACGTGGATTTACGACACTGCTCTCTGTTTGTTTCCCCCCCCCCCGGTTAGGATACACCGAAACGGGTCATGTTTATTCTGCGTTGACTGCAGTTGATCTATGGATGGATTTTGTTTCTCCAGGGTCTGGGAGCTTGTGTACTGGGGTGATCTGTGGGAAATGAGCTCCCAGTGTTTGTTTTCTCTCTGCAGAGATTAGCAGAGCTGCTGAAGAGCAAAAAGCCAGAAGATCTGCAAGAGGCCAATCGGCTCATCAAGAACATGGTCAAGGAGGTGCGTCAAGTGAAACGCTTTGATTGTTACCATCGTGTTTTGAATTCGGTTTTGGTGACTTTTCTGACCCTAAACCCCAGTTTGAAGCTAGTTACTGCACACTGTTCTCAGGATTCCTCTCAGAGCTTGTGTTTATACTGACATGGTCAAGCTGAATGAGTAAGTGCAACTCATCTTTTTTCATGTATTTTTTTATCCTTCCCCCAGGACGAGGTGAGAACACATAAAGCAAAAAAGCAACAAAGCACACTGGAGGCGGTCAACAGCAGCGTCAAACTCCTTAACGAGATGCTGGCTCACTTCAGCCCCGAAGACTCCGCGGACGGAGACAAGGAGCTCATTAGGGTTCGTTCACCTTTGAAGACGGGGCTCACATGACCTTTGGAAACAAATTCACTCCTTTCTTTGGCCATTATTGCCCTTTTTTGGAAATAATTTGACGAAATAGTTCAGACTTCGGCTGTACGGCCAGAAAGCAGTCCAAAGTCATTTGCTGCTGTTGCATTCTGAGACCAACCGGTTTGTCATTAAGTATAAAGTGTCTGTCAAAATAACTCAGTCATTTATTTAATAACATAAGTAATGGTAACATATTTAATATCATAGTCTAAAGTGACATTTATTATGTAGGAGAAACACTTTTCTTTTCATTTCCTGTGATTCAGCAGTTTCTGAATGAGATTGATGATTCATGATGATTTCATTTTCTTTTTTCCAGGAGCTGTACGGGGATTGCGACAAGCTGAGACAAACTGTGTTTCAGCTGGCCACTGAGACGGAGGATAACGACAGCTGCTTGGGTAAGAGATCCTGTAATTGTTCCCCCGGCTGACTCTGATTCCTAATACTTCCTAATTCAAGAAGGATACGTCTGAGTCTTGGCCTTGCGCTGACACAAAGGCCGACATCAACAACCACGTGACTCAAAAAAACCCCATCCTGTTCACTGCTGGGTGTTTTTGTTGTTGTGGAAATGTTACAAAGCCAGTCTAACCTTTTTTTTTTTAAATGCATTGATCAGGAGACATCCTGCAGGCCAGCGATGACCTCTCCCATGTCATTAATTCCTACAAGAAGATTGTGGAAGGACAGATCATCAATGAGGAAGCACAGCAAACACAATTATCTGTCAGACAAGGTACATTTCAACTGTTTCTAGCAGAGAACTGTTTAGAAGCGATATACATTCATTAAAACATTGTTTTATGCACATGTTTACACTTTATAAATGAGACCAGATAATCATAGTTTAGGTGGAGTTCACATTAGGGCTCCCTCATATTGCTCAAAGATGTACTGCACGTTTAATTGTTAAATAAAAAAAGACTACGGGGACCGGGGGACCTCCATAAAATCTCCTGCAACCCTCTTGTGTGTCCCGGGACTGCACAATGGGCAATCATGTACAGTAATCCTAAATACGTCCTAATTAAAGCTCATAGTCAGACAAACCTGGCATAGACCATGTTTGGAAATGTATTCTAAAAGTGCAAAGAACACAACAGGCTCATATTAAAAACAGAGGTCCAGTCTAACAAGAATCCCTCTCTTAAGAGCATGTCATGTAAACATAGGGTGCTTTCAGACTTAATGTCAACTAAGCACAGTTCATGTGTAACTAATAGAATAGTAATCATACACAAGAACCACAAGAAGATATCACAAGTAAAAACTAACCTTGTAACAAATTACCATAGTTTAATTTCCCAGCTTGGTGTGTTATTGTGTTGAATATGCCAGTTTGTAAATGAGTACATCTTTGGTTTTCTCACCACCAGTGTTTTTTTTTTTTTTTTTTCTTCTCTCCATCTGACGAGCACAGGTCGCACCAACCAGTCCGAGATCCTGATTGACTTGGTGGGTCTGGACACCCAGGGCGTCTCTCAGCCCCCGGCATCGTCTCTGTCTCTCCCTGCTGACCTGCTGTGTGGGTCCGCTGCCAGGGGCCCTCAGTCCCCCGGCCACGACGGTCCCTCTGCAGCACTCTCTCTGCTGGATGAAGAGCTACTATCTTTAGGTGATTTTTTTTTTAAAAAAAAAAAAAAAAAAAAAAAAAAATGTATAGCGACTTTGGACATTAACTGTTGTTTTTGGAGAATATTTAAATATGTGACATGTTTTGTGGTCTTTTACAGGTCTTAACGAACCGGCTCCTGCGCCAAGTAAATCAGCACATGTAAACCTGAACAATGGTTTGCCGTCTTTACAGGTATTTCAATAAATTGAAAGAATTTCTACGAACATAAAACGCTATCTTATTGGTAATAGCTACTTTTTTTTCTTATATTTCCACGTATTCCAGGATTCCAGTCATGACTTTGATTTTTTTGACACCACTTCGCTGTCGACATCGTCGCTCTTTCCAGACGCCCTTTCTGTGACAGCAGACCCGGTTAACCCAGTCGGGTCTTCGACAGCTGCGTCCACCTTAAGCTTTCCTGGTTACGTCTTCTCCACGCCTCCAGTTTCCACAGTGTCCGTTTCAACAACATCAGTCGTGTTCCCACAGCCCTTCGGCTCAGTATTGACCACCACGGCCTCTGCTGCTCCTGCCCAGTCATTCAAGGTGGCCTCGCCTTCTCCCTCAACCTCCTCTCTCACTGCACAACAGGCCTCCACTTCACCTGGAGCGTCCCACGCGACTTCTCTCAGTCACAATCTGCAAGACCTTGCCTTGCTGGATCTGGGCAGTCCTAAAATGTGAGTAATAATCGTGCTACAAGGTAAATATGGGGATGGAATATGGATCAGCCCAATATTTTAGATTTTAAATTATGTATGAAGTGTTTTTTATTTATTTATTTATTTCACTGATTGGCCTGATTGGGTGTCTAAGCACTTGAGTTTAAATGTTCCCTGTTCTATCATATGAAAAGTCAAGTATATCTCAACTACTAGTTTCCAAATGGCAGAGAGAGCAACAGGACTCGATGAGTCTTTGATACGAAGTGATCCGTGGGTGACGCTTGAGCCGCTCAAAGAGCAGCGTCTTTAGCACGACAGGGAGCTGAAGTCCTTATCTATGCTTTTTTTTCAAAGCCGCAGACTCCTTTGACAAAACAGTACTTTTACGCCCTGTAAATTCCTCATCAATCATGTTGTGAGCCATTAAGAGGCAACACAAATGTCCCCAATCTCATCTTTAAGGCCAAGTGCCCAAACCTGACTGCACGGTGTTGTCTTCCGCCCTTCTTCTGCTATCTTGTCGTCATCGTTGTTTATGTCATTTTTCATTTGAGCGTTAGCGGGAGCCTGTGATGTTTGTGACAAAGACTCTTGAAATCTCTCCACACAGCACACCTGCTGCGATGGACTTTGGCAGCTTGCTGGCCAAGAGTGAGGACCTGTTCACTCCCGCTGCCTCGTCCTCCAGAGTTGGTGTCTCCTCCACCACCGCATCCACCTCACTGCGCCGAGGAGAGATGCAGGCCGGGTCCACGCACCCGCCTGCCAAGAGCCTGGCAGATGACTGCCCTCTGTTACGCTCTCTGTCCCCCATCCTGCCTCTGAGCCAGGCCAGCCCAGGCAAAGAACAAGAGGTGTCCCTGGCCAATGTCTTTGTCCCTTTGGATGCCATCACGCCAAGTGAGTTCAGTTCCATGATATAGGCTGTATGTATTTTTGTGTGTGTGTGTGTGTGTGTGTGTGTGTGTTATGAGTATTTCAGTGGATTTTGTTGCTTTTCATCGTAATTATACGTGGGAGAGGGTTGAAAGAAAAAATAGCCAAGGACACACATTGAGTCAGATCTCATTTTAATACTGCAGATTAAAATGAGATCTGACTCAGATTTAGTGGTGAAAGTGGCTTAATAAAACTGGACACTGGGTGATGTTTTCCCCTGTTGTTCTTGGTCTTTTATTGCGATCATTTTCATTGTGGATCAGAAAGTAATTTTCATACCGTCAAAATATGCTTTCAGCACAGAGTACATTGGGAGCAGTAAGAGCTGGTGTTTCGACCTCTGTAATAATCACATTTTGCTTTTCCCTCTTTGTGTGCCGTGTTTAAGGTAAAGCGTGTCCCGTGACCGCCTATGACAAAAACGGAGTCCGTGTTCTGCTGCATTTCGCCAGCGACTGTCCAGCAGGCCGACCCGATGTACTGGTGATGGTGGCGTCCATGCTCAACACAGCCCCGCAGCCTGTCAGGAACATCGCTCTGCAGGCTGCTGTGCCCAAGGTGAAAGCACCCTCACTGCATAGGACGCTACAGAGTGCCTTTATTTTTTAATTTTTTTTAAGTATTGGCAGATGTTCGACTCATTAAATTAAATATTTCACTTCAAATGAAATCAGAGTGGGCTGCCGCTTCTGTTTCATGACCTCAGATGTCTGTTCTGCTAAATTCACCAGACGATGAAAGTGAGACTGCAGGCGCCCACGGGGACGGAGCTGGCTCCTTTTAACCCAATACTTCCCCCTGCTGCTGTCACTCAGGTCATGCTGCTTGCAAATCCTCTCAAGGTAAATCTCAGCCTGGAGCTGTTTTTGGTCTTCATACAATTTTTACGCAACAAGTAATGTATTTATTGACGGAACACTTTCTTATGCCAGCCGTGTTTTTAATGCGTCCGCTCAAGCATAAGCCTTGGCCAGAGACGTTATGTTTTTCGGGTGATCTGTCATTCCGTCAGGCCTGGAGGGAATTTCTCCCAAATTTGGCACAAACTTCCAATTTGGACTTCAGGTTATTACCGATTTGGAATTTGGTGATCAAAGGTCTCTCACACAATTTGTTTTGGGCCATAACGCATTAATTCACATGCAATTTATGACAATTTCACACAACTGCCTAATAGGATAAAATGATGAAATGATGACATTTTGGACGTAAACTGCACCATGACTGGTTGGTGGGAGGCATACAACCACGACGTGGTAATTCTAGTCCTCTATGTTTGAAGTCAGTACTGCACAGTATCGGCACTTCTTACAGTCGCACATGCCAACCAGTACGCTTTAAAGATATAGCGATCACTGGCATTCACAATGCATTAGATCTTGTGTGTTCCAGCGAGCCAATGGAAGCCGTCAAGCTGAGTGTGTGTGTGTGTGTGTGTTTGTGTGTTTGTGTGTGTGTGTTTTTTGCAGGAAAAGGTGCGGATGAGATACAAACTGACATTCATGCTGGGAGAGCAGCCACAATCAGAAGTTGGGGAGGTGAATGAGTTTCCGCCTGCTGACAGATGGGGGGCTCTATAGCCCGGCCTGCCGACACTATAAGACAATTTAATTTGTCAGTGAAGCTCAGAGGTCCAGAGAAAGGGCAGTATTAGAAGACTTTTAGGGAAAAAATGTAAGTTTTTTCTGCTTGAGATGGCCCACTGAAGTAGCCAATGTCCTGTAGCGTACGTCCAACTTAAACTTTACTACAGTGCCAGAGGTAGTCAGTGTGGTGCAGTAACAAATGGAGTGAAGTTTCTGGTAATGTTAAATATTGCTACGTTATTATTCGTTTATTATGAGTATTATTATTATTATTATACCCTTTTGTTCTTATTTTAATGTTCCTATTTACTGTCTCTCAATGCCGGACAGTAAGCAAAAAATAAAAGTTGAAGGAGATTGTGAAGCCAGGATCTTATGAACATGCGAACATGACCTGCATTTCACATGATTTGCTGCTCACTATGTATGATAACAACGTTTAACGCTTAAGACATCGGACTGGAGCAGACAACAGCCCCTCTGTTGCTACACAAAAGGCACCCACAGACTGGCCCACCAAGAATCAGCTACTTTCAATATGCCTCACAGTTGCTACTGAATACTTTAACTTGTATACTAACTCGTAGCTCAGACTCTTGTTTTACGCTTTTTAGTCTTTCAGTATTTATTGACATGAATGTATTATTTATTTGGGTTTTGGGAAGAAGGTGTCAGATCTGTTAACTTCCTGTTTGGTGTTGCAATCGACGGCTGCATTCCTTCTGCATACTCTTCCGAATATGTTACCAAATATTTAGACGGCTTATGTTACATGATGTAGCAACAGGGTGGTTTCTGAGGAATTACATGCTTTGCTACATGTCCAGGCTGTGCCCTCTGGATAGCATTTTAATATAGAAAATGTAATTCATGCAAGATTAAACAGCGGCCTTATGCCAGAGACCGTAGCCCCCTTTTACTTAGCAACACGAGCTGTTAAGGGCACGGATCAATTATGTGCATAAAGTGGATGTGCTTTAGGAAGTGCCGACCTTCTAACCATTAATCCCCGGAGACGAAAAGGAATATTGTTTGACGTTAATTAAATGCCGTGCATAGCTTTGCTCTTGCTACCGTTGTTAGACAAGGTAGTGGAAACAAAGCCAAAGGGTAGGTTATTCGCCCTGAGTCCACTGTAAATCTTTAGCTTGTGTGGGACTTTCCTATATCGATTTAGGAAAATATTTCTTTCACCAGTAATCCTTGAGAAAATACTGTATATCAACAGAAAAAACGTGATGGTTAATTCAAAGCCTCAGGCTTACCGTGTGTTCATCAAGAACTGTGACTTCTTTATTCTTGTCTTTCTGGGGCTATTAGAGCTATAAAGGAGATTCTCTACATATTTCTTATAAAACTGTTTGTCTTAGATTGTTAAATGAATGTGTCATTGCATATTTGGAAAAGCTATTTCTGTGCATGGAAAAATAAAGGAGATGGATCTATTTGTTTTACAATTTTCACGTTTGGCCTCGTTTTTCATTGTCTAAGGACCAATATCAATGCAGTAGCATATTAACCACATCGTTTGTGTGTTTTCATGTAATCATTATTAGATTAATAGCAAGAGCACACTGTAAAATATTGCAAGTAAAAGTAAAGTATCAAAACTAAAAGTATTCATGCAGCAGAATGATCCCCGTTTTTAAATACTGGATTTTTATTGTTCTTTCGGTAACATGTAAGCAGCATATTAATGTTGTAGCTAATTATAACTACTTTATTGCTGTTGGGTTGGTAATATGAACATCATAGTTTAACGTGTAAAATCGGAATCTGAAAAGTAACCAGTAACTATAGCACATAAATGTAGTTTAGTAGAGCAGTGAAATTGAAATTCTCAATAAAGTACAAGTGCCTTAAAGTACTCTCAGATACGTATGCTATCAATTTGCAGTAATAACATTTCTGTATGAACCAATATTTAAATGGTTTCTCTGGAAAGGTTGTGGGACGAGCGCTCAGTTGATCTGGCGCAGCTGTGTGCGCCTCAGCCGACTACAGTCAGCCCACGCAAAGTCGCGCGCCAGACAGCGCAGCCGCAGCAGAACAGGCGCAGGCAGACAGACGCAGTAGCAGCCATGGCCGACGAAAAACCCAAGGTGAGGAACGGGTTTTGTACGGGGTTTTCTTTACAGGGTGTACCAAATCCGTGTGCGATATTTTTTATAGACGAAAAGCCGCCTGTGAGACCAATTCGTCAACGGTTGCATAATCACAAAGAAGGCTGACAGCACAAACAGGAGCTAACGCTAACGGGGTTAGCTAGTTAGCAAGCGGGCGAAGTTAGCATAATAAGCTAACGTGGCTAACGCGCATGAGACCCGGGCGGTATGAAAGAAATAATTCCCTGTCTTTTTAAATACAGTTAATCGACACCTGCTTAAATGAAGATGTTTGAGCAATATGCATGTCAAATGTAGCGATATAACGCTAGTTATTGCATGTCCAGGTAACGTTAGCAAGAACCGCAGAAGTGAGTAACGTTTAGACCGCAGTCTACAACAGGCCATGAAATGTATTGTTTGAGCTCAAACCGTGAACTGTCAACGGATATCTTATCAAATATTCATGCCCGTCCGCACATGGCAGTGTGTCACAGCATGAGAGGGATTAGTTGATGCGTCCAAGTTGAAATTCCCATTCTGACTAGGCCGCTGGGCATCGTTATAAGGAGTAGGCCATTGCCAATTGACTTGCTGAATGCTAATGCTAAATGCTAACGTAGGAGTTGTAATGTTGCTCCCTTTCTGTGCTCGGTAACCACCAGCCCTCCGATCTGTGCTCACCAGGGGCAGATGTCAGATTAATGTAACGGTGGAAACAACTTAATTTACACACGTGATGTAAATAGTTTTGTCTATACTTTTGTCATAAGTCATTGAGGTACACAATGTACATCCCCAATCTTAAATAGTGTCGAACCCGGGAGGAAGGGGTTTTTGTTGTTGAGGAACAAATGCATTTCACATGTTAGTTTACCAAGCGTCTTGTATTGCCTTGTATCACTTTCTGCAATCAGCTCAACTTTCTGCAAACATGTGTTTGTCTCTCTTTCAGGAGGGAGTGAAGACGGAGAACAATGAGCACATCAACCTGAAAGTGGCAGGGCAGGATGGCTCAGTGGTGCAATTCAAGATCAAAAGGCACACTCCTCTCAGCAAACTGATGAAAGCTTATTGTGAACGGCAGGTGAGACTACCGCACATTTACTACGACTCCTCATAAGAAACCATCTTTAAGTCAATTGCATTGCTGGTAGCCCGAATGCTGGTTCTCCAACTGGAGACCAAGGACTCGGCTTAGGGGTCCTGGGGGTTCTAGTCAAATGAGAACTATACCTTAATAAGCCCTATTACATATAGAAAGGGTCTGTTGCTTTTGTGTTATTTCTCATGAAATATTATTGCACATTTATTCAATAAACCATATGGTGACCAAATTCAGATATATTATTATTGTGACCCCCATTTCTATTTATTTATTTATTCTATTATTTACATGGCGCTCTGGGGTCTTGTTTACAAAAATCTTGCTAATTCTTTACTGTTAGTCAAATAAACTTGTTACTGGTTGAAAATGGGTCTCTCTAAAAACATGACAGCTGTGCAGCAGTATTGTTCTGTTTTGTTGTCACGAGTGTGCCCCATAATGTTGATTTTTCAATATTTTAAACATTTTTCTCTCTGTCCACATAGGGGCTGTCAATGAGGCAAATACGATTTCGATTTGACGGTCAGCCCATCAATGAAACAGACACACCCTCGCAGGTAAAGCTTCACCCTCTTCTGTTCTTTCAGCCTACCAACATCATAATATTGCTACTTTAGGTATTGCAGGACTCTGATTTTCCACTTTGTTGTCAGTTATGTTATGGGCTATTTCTTTTAGAAATTCAAGAAAGCATGTGGTGTGACAAACATTTACTAAAGTTAAAGGTCAAAGGTTTTTCTCAAACAATGTTATTTCTTATGTAACATGTATTTGAATTGATTTTTGTTTTATGTGCACTGTGAACCTGCGTTTACAGGTTTGGTACACGATAGTCTGAATTCATGTTTAAGTGATCATAATTAGACTTCAAATCCTTGGCAGTAGTCCGTATTGAAACAGTTGTAGAAATACAAAGAGCTGCTCCACGCAAACAGCGTCCACTCTGAGCACCTGCTGTGAAGCTACTCTTTAACTTGATACTTGAGACTGTCCTGAGGATGGACGCGGTCTCACGTCAGCTTTGTCCAGTATGTAATGTGTTACAGTGCTGACTTTACAAACGGCACTGAGCAGCTGTGAACGGGTCAGTGCTGTAGCTGTGCTGCCTCTTTACTGCCGTAGACCAGGTACATAAAGGAGAAGGTTTTGTTTACTTTCATGTTGCGAGTCTCTGGTCAGGAGAAACTCTCCTAAGCTTCTGTACCTCTTCCTCTAAACATATTTTGATACTTTTGTTTACACCTCGCCTTTAACATTTAGTCTGGCTCTCCTGTATTGTTCTTGGGAGGAGATGCAATAAAAGAAATGTTGCCCTTGTCCATGTTTCAAACTAACTTCCTGGTGAAACGCTTTGTATGAATTAGCTCACTGTTATTGTCAACACGTCTTAAGTGGCTTCACGGTAAAGACCTACCACTGCCTTCACATCAGCTGACATTTTAACTTTTTCTTACAGCTAGAAATGGAGGATGAAGATACGATTGATGTGTTCCAACAGCAAACCGGAGGCTCTTCTCTTTAAAGACTGTTTCCTACGAACATCCCTACCTCCCCTTTTCATCCCCGAACATCTTTGTTATGCCCAGTCTTCAAACGCTCATGACCAGTGTTGATACCATCCAATGGAATACTTTTACAAAATGTTCAAAGGCGGTGGCACAGTTGCTGTAGATAGGTTTAATCACACTGTCATTCGTATGTTAACATGTTTGAACTGCGCAGTGTAGACGACTTGTAAGCAGTACAGTGAGTCTAATGTGCTGAAGAAATGAAGATTGGCATGGTTTTTTTTTTTTTTTTTTTTTTTTTTTTTTTTTAGGTTTTTAAGGGAAATTTTTTTTTCCTTTTTTTTTTTTTTTTTTTTTATACTGATGTCATTATGGTTTTGATTCAGATGGAATTTTGTTATTGTTGTCAATTAAGCCTGCATTTTAAATTCACATCTGTTATGAAAATGTATTGTTGGAATAAATTGAGTCTTTTTTAACATATGTCCTGGCTGTTTGTTTTATGGTTATTAGTCTAAACCAGAGCATTCATCAGAGCTAACATGTAATATGCTAATTATATCCATTTACTCAGTTTTTAATAGCCTGAAACTATAAGCTGCTCGACCAGAGATATGTAAAAACAAGTGGAAAAAGGTCAATTAAGAGGGTTTTATTTGCAATGCAAATATCTTATCAAAACTTGAGAGCCTTGCACTAACTTGGATAAGTTTGTAAAAAAAGTTACCCTTTACTCTGATAGCCCTTGTCTATATCACTGTCCCACTGTAGCAAAAATTATCTTACTTACAACTTTGAGTCAGACAAGAGTGAAATTTGAATTCAAACTGCCTCACTATGGTTACATTTTCCAAGTTGGATATTTTATTTAAATAGATATTTTTTTAATACGATTGCAATAAACGGTAGCTGTTTCAATACACGACGAAAACTGATGATGAACGTCTGGGTCAACGTCAGATGAAGTCGGATGCGGTATGTGCATGCTTGGTAAATAAGCATAGGTTGATTAATGTCTCTAGATCAAATCGTAGTTATATCTGTTCTCTTGTGGGCGGTACGAAGGCTGTAGAAACGCCCTCCACAATGGTTTCTGTGGCACTAACACTTGTAAAGAACCAGCCAGAAATAAGCAGAAAGACCGGAAATACGGCGGTTTTGCTACCAAAATACATACATTTTTGTCTAAGTACACTATGGGATTATAAAGAAATTAATCTTTGCCGTAGGTCACACACTGTTTAAATAAATAGTTTGGATTCAAATGAATTTATGCACTTTGATATGATCTTAAAAATAGCCGTAAACTATATTTGTTAGGTTAGCATATTTTATTTTGAAAATATGACCGGAACAGACACGTCTGCTTTTGGTCACTTTGACGCTTGTCCGCACAGATTTGAGGCAGGTTGATTATTGGGAAGCACGGGCTGCGATAGACAATGATGAGGCGGTGAAGTGCAGCTAATGCAAGTGTAATTCGCGCGTATCCTGTCAGAAATATACATATTTTACGACTTCTTGTGCAAAAAATGACGACGACCACGAACTATCAAGGGATGGAGCCCGGTTCTAAAAGCAGTTCCAGGTAAAGCGCTATGTTCAGACCGCTCCGTTAGCCACCACGACGCCAACAAGTCCAGCATCCTTTTTAACGTTAACCTCAACGCTAACGTTACACGGGTTTACCTCAAAATCTCAGACATGTTTGGCCCTGACCCCTACCCGTAATTATTGCTTAACCGCTCGGAGATGCTTGAAACGAAGCATGGGGCGACGATGCTCGGAGAAAACTGGTACCACGCCTTCCCGTTTTGTCTGCTGGGATGGACCATTCCCATTTTTTTTTTTTTTTTTTTTTAACGTTAGCTAGCAAGATAGCACACTCATGTGCTCTCCCTTTTTGTAGAGAAGCCCCTGAGCTAGCATGTACAGACTAGGCGGCTCAGCATCCAACATCAGGCCTTTTACACATAATGTTTTCTCAATACTCTCTCGTATTTATTGTCTGAATGCGAAAGATTTATCACATCTGTCATTCCAGTTGGGTGCGGCCCCCACCCGTGAATTTCAGATCAGCTATCGGGATGATCAGTGAAGTACAACAAGGCATGTAGTCTGCCCTGCATATGGCCCCATTGAGGCGGGGGCCACGTTACAGCTGGCGACACCTGACCGTGACCATATAAAGACTGGAATGATGCGGGTTTAACATTCACAATGTTTAGGTGAACGATTGAGTCTCCAGTACGTTATGTGGGTATTATGGTAAATCCCATCATAATGTAAAATACAACGATACAGTAGACCAATGTCATTTTATTCTTTCTACCACAGAGTTAAAAAATACTATATAGTGTTACCTTTACATTTTCGAGAAAATGACATGATCAATATTGATATGTAATTGTGTAAACTCTGCAATAAGTATTCCAAAGCATACACAATGTATAGTTGACAGTTTAATATGCACATCTTGTTCAGAATAATAGTCTAAAACAGCCACGCATTACATCCTATCCTCATATACTGCATTGCATTTTACTGAGAGGTGTTCTTATTATTTAGTCTACCCTTGCTGATATATAAATCAGTTTGACAACATATCAGAAAGGTACAGTAGTATAAACAGTAGCCTGCATATAAATGCCACATAGACACACAGGAAATGCTTTTGCATTGTGGTACTTTATTATGATTTATTGGCAGGAACGGAATATAATATAGATAAGTATATGTTGTTATAAAAATAAGAGTTGGCTCTTCATACCGTCTCTTCGCAGAGTCCGCCATGTTGCACCGCCGTGTTTCTACTGAAGCCCAGAACGGACAACCCAAACACGCGGGGCCATTTGCTCGTCCTGTCGGCCCCTTGTGTGTGACGGCTGATGAGCTCAAACATCTGATTGACAGTTTAAGTCATCGCAGTGTTATCCAAAGGCTAGCACATTGTTAAATGACGCAAAACAGAATTTATATTTGACCTTTTCATTTGGTGAATGAGCAATCACTTCTCACTCATTAATTCTTAAGTCTGAACTCCAGCAGTTAGGCTGGTTATTTTAATTCATAAACCCTTTTGAAATGGAGAGAATACGCTTCGGAGCCAGTCTGATCCAGCTTTCAGTAACGGTGCTGACTGTTCTCTCTCTCGGCTCAGGGTTCTGCGCCCTCCTGGCGGCGCCTCCAACTTCTCGCTTGGTGCAGATGAGGAGAAGCCTCCCGTCCGGAAAGACAAGATGGCCTCCAGTGTTTTCGCTGAGCCGGAGGACCCCTATGCTAATAGAAGGAACAATCCACCAGGTACAATCTAAACTCTTCTCCAAGCAGCTGTTAAGTGGCAGTGTGAAAAGCTTATAACTCAACAGCTATCTTATTTTGACAGCTCACCACGACATTTACGGATGGTGCCGCTTAAAAACAAAACCAGTGACCACAAGGAACACGTTTTGAGAATATCTTTTCTTGCCTTTCGGAGACACGAGGTTGTCACTGAAGGGGTTTTTCTCTCGCTGCTGGACCCAGCTGATCGTCTGCCTCCCCAGGCAGCTAAATACATAGGAATAACATTTACCGTCTCCGGTGGTGCTACTTAACATAACAGGTTCAGGTGCCCAATTAATTTCTCTTCCAGTCATTAGATATTCAATCACTGGTGTTCGTGTATTCATCAGGATCTTCTCATGCCTGCAGAGATCTGACATATTCATGGGGAATTGAGCTGCATCAAGTAAAAAGTATAATCTAAGAGGATTAATAAAACACTGATAAACCGAAAACACTGTTTCATTTCATTACTTCTCTAAATGCAAAATGTGACCAAAAGAGGAATTAAAACACAATAGGAAGTAAAAGTGATGCTAGCCAGTTATGCGGTTTTGATTTCTGGCATTGGTTCCTAATTTTCTCCAATAAATGCAGTAGTTTAAGCTAAAAACATCTATTACAAGAGGAATTTACTTGTAGCCATTGCTGCGTTTTTATAGCTTTTCCCTTCCAGATGAGGCGTTCTGGCATGTAGGTTGTGAAAGCTCATAATCCAAGTAGCTCTTTGTGCCGTGTGCCTCGTGTTGGCCTCGGGTCTGGTCTCAGACTTCCAGTGCTAAGATGGATCAGCGATTCTTTTCAGTCTTATTTCCTGTGACAGAGCAAATTTTTCCCATTTTTACTTGTTTAACTTTGCAATATGAAAAATGTATATTAATTTATTGTATTGTATATGCAGTAAAAGTTAGATGTAGCCAACACAAAGTGGACAGATTTCATGGCAACCTACGCCAGCCATTACATCACACCCTTCTAGTAAATATTGAAGTACCTATAGTTAATGTAACTCCACAAATATGAGAAAATGTGACGTGCGTATTACTTCGGGTTTGTTTGGCTGGTAGGTTGCGGACATCTTTGTTTGTCGGTGGCGTGACAAGGCCGTACACGTTCTTGTCAGTGTTTTTTTATTAGCAGCTTTAACTACATCTGGCTTTCCCGGAAATCTCATCAACACATCTGTCCCGGTAGACTTTCTGTCACTGGCGTGTGCAGAGTTGGGTTGACAATCTGGATTCTACATCAAAAAGGCGGAGCTTCATCAACCAGGAAGCCTCGGTCTTCCTCCCTTTAATTCTCGCACACAGTAGCCTAACATGAACCAGACTTTAGTCCTTTTAACAGTACTTACTAACAGTATTTCAAACATCCGAATGGCTGTCGTCTTTGAACAGGATCAACGTAAAAAGAAAAGGGAAAACAAGCCATTTCCTCGTAGTCACCGAATGCTTTTCTCCCCGTTTTGACCCTCGATGCAACTGCCGTATCCGGGCTGCCACAGAGAGGCTAAGTGATTGTGTGTTTGTCCGCATGACGGAGCACAATACAGCCAGACATGGTGGACTGGCATGGCAGTCCTGCAGAGGCTCGTTAAAATGACGGCATAATCAGGGATTCATTTATCTAGATATTTTATATTCCACAGAATCGTAAACTGAATATCATGTTGAGTTAACAGCCTCGTTAAGACTTCATCCTTCTCCGCCACCGGACGGTTTAAGTAGCTGGGGGACCATCTGTACATGACATCAGACATCAATCATGCCTGGACCATCTGAAATAGGAGCATCGCGAGATCTGTTGGCAGCAAACCTTCTTTAAAGTCCAATAAAAAACCCGTCTCAAATTACTAGTTAAGTATAATATAAAAATCTCAAAATGGAAATAATGATAATGTGAAACATAATCACTCAAAAAAAGCACCAAGAAGTCTTACTGACAGGTCGATACGATCAACAGCTCTTGGGCGAATACCACACACAGTTGTTCACTTTCACCATTTAAGATTTATAAAAAGACAAACAACGGCAGTGTAAATATATAAATATAGCTTGGTTATAAACCACCTGTCGGACAGAGCCAGCAGCACCTACTGGCATCCATCCAAAGTAAAGTCAACAGGCGTTTCCTTTTGTAAACAAACAGGTTCAACTGTTAACAAAGAGAAACAAAATGGCATCCAAAAAACACAAGGACTTAACAAAAGAAAGCAGAAAGGACCTTCTGCTGAGGCCGAGAGAGAGGGAGTGAGCGGAAGTTTCTGCCACCTTCTTTATCGTCTTTCCTCAGTCACAGACTTTAAACCCCGGTACACCTGAGAGGACACGGAGGTAAAGCACGAGTTTAGAGCACATACCGGCCAACAGAGGGGGAGCATGCAACACAACAATGTCACAGTGCGTCATCTGATAGACCCATTCAGTATGAACCAAATAGGTACACATACAAACAGGGGGGGGGGGGGTGAACCGGACAGGTATGTGACATACAGTTCCGATTTTAAATTGGTGCGGATTGGTGCAATGGAAACGTATTTCTTCAGAGAGGCGTGCATATGTTGAATAAAAGAACAATTAAAAACATGTTGGCGGTGTCCATTGACCCCAGACACACTCATCTATCCGTCAGTATAACTATATTCGCCGTGTGTTGAAACGTTTGGACAAGCTCAGAAAATCCAAACTATTTCATGAATATTCCCACGTGGATCATGGATAGTCCCACTCACATGCCAGTTGATAGCCTTTCTCACTAGCCTTCCTTTTTCTGAAAATAACAATGGCTTGTAGTGACGAGGGCGATGACAAAAACGATCCAAAGAGCAAATGCGCCCACAGCAGGACATGACTGCATGTTTGTACTTTGAACAGAGTTATTGTCAGAATGACATTAACCATGAAAGTGAAACTTCCAAAGTCAAAAGAATTCCCCACAGCTCGATAGGAAGCCAAGAAAGACAATGCAGGAGTAAACGTTGGAGCAACGTCCTTGTGAAGAAGTCCAGCATAATGAGGGTCATCGGGTCAGGCCACTATGTCAGTGGACTGCAATGGTCCGTGTTGTTCCTCTCATGGGACCTTCACTTCCCCTTGTTGCCTCCTTATGTTCTCACTGACACACAAAATCCCCAGTCATGTTTCAATCCTTTCTGGGAAATTCCACGCTCCCGACGAACACCCTGACACGACGCTCTGGCATTTGATTTAATGTTTACGTGGAGTATGAAGGCTGTGGGTAACTATAACTGTGTTCCCTGTGATCACATGACCAAAAAACATCAACTCGTTGATGGAGGTAAAGCTTACGTGTCACTGTTGTACAGCTTCTGTTTGCTATCCAGTGAAAGCTGAGCATTACGAAGACTTCTTTTGATGAAGAGGTTGGTACATTTTGGACTTTTGATCTGTAAAACAAAACAGAGCAACGGTCTTGTCCTCAACAGCGTCTTTATGATCTGGTCCATGAGATTTATGAAGAGTTAATTAGTTTCTTATCAGGCCAGTTATGATCCAGCTACTCATTGTATGGTTTATCAGGAGAGGGAGATCAGACTATAGTGGTCCTTGTTATCGTGCCCTGTGGACTACCTTCTCTGGCATTCACTAGCTGTTTCTTAATTTCATAACTCAAGAATTAATTCGCTAATTATGACAATTTCACACAAATGTCTAAAAGGACGTTTTTGTGTACCATTTTCTTGCATTTTGCCTTTGCACCTCCCTGAGTGACGGCCTTATTTATTTGAGCCGGTGCGTCTCCTCGCCGTTCCAGGTGGGAAGCCCACAGGTGTGCTTTGCGGTGAGCCGTCAGCCCCCCGGAGGAGAGGAGGGAACCAGACCACCGACCTCTCCGCAGAGGCCCCCGCCGCGGTAAGATCACGCATCACATCACGAGCTGTGGTGGGAGAAAATGAAGTGAAACCTGAAGGCAGACAAACATATGGGGAACTGAAGTCCAAAAGATTTAACTCTTATCTATTTTATTTTTGTTCTAAATCTTCCCTTAATGTCTTAATAAGTAGCTTGTGTATCAGTTACAGTGGAACATGGGCGAATAACATGAAAGGAGCACATGCTGATGAAACACTGACCACCTTTCTGCTTCTTTTTGTAGGACGGAGAAAATTCTGTACCCGATTCTGGTAAGTGCATGTTTTTTTCTGATCACATGACACACTGATAGACCTTAAACCAGCGGTCCAATATTACAAAGAACAGATTTGTGATACGCCATCATAAATCTTTCACATTCAACATCACAGATATACAAATGTACATGTGCACACACAGTACGTGTACATGTATACATATAGACATGCACAATATTCATGAATAAAGCAGGAGGAAAAGAAACATTTTCGTCAGTAGTTGATGATAAGGCCGACGCTGCTGAAAACCTCCGACACATCATGCGGACACACAGTGTCCTTCAATGTCTGCAATTAGAAACGAGCTTCCGAGGGTGCGGCGCATTCTTGTGGTAAAATGATTGTGGCTGCTTCCTTGCTAATGTTTCCAAATGATGGCCACATGCCTCCCTGCCTGTGTTCAGAAAACAGTGCTCCTGAGCCGGAAGCCGTCCCAGAGCAGAAGGAGGAGGAGGCCCCCTCAGCCGACCATCCCGCTGCAGGAGTACCGTCCGGCCGCAGGAATCCCCCCGGGGGCAAGTCCAGCCTGATCCTGGGATGAATCCAAGCCAACCACCCCTCCCTCCCTTCGTCCACTCATCTCTGAACTCGTCTTTTTTTCATTTTATTTGTTTAACAAGGAACCCCCCCGGCCCATTTGTCTGAACCGAGAGAATCCTACCTGGTGTGCAACAGACACCAGTCTCCTCCACATCCCTTAAGTGCATTGTTTTGATACCTCTTTTCTGAAAGCCGTTTTGTACCGTTTGTTTGTTTGTTTGTTTGTTTTTGATGGAAGCACTTTATGTATTTCTATGTGTACGGTTCAAAATCTGCCTTTCCCCCCTGCAACACAGGGTACAAGGATCACATTTCTCATATCAAATAGCGATAAATTAATCTCCCCTAACTTTATTGCGACAGCATAAACGGTGTGTGATTGTACGAGCAGTTTCCAGAACACAAGCGGAAAAAGGAGAAAAGAAAGCTGTCACTTTTGCACCGTGTTCAGTTTTGACCCATCTTGCATGCACGTCTGGTCTGTAAACGTATGAATGTGAGAAGAAACATAACTGTGAAGATTTTTATTATTATTTATTATTTAACCTGTTAGTTGTTTTTTGTTTTTTTTATTGTGGAATAATTGTCGTACTGTTGCATGAAGCTGGAATCTTTCTACTGATTATCTTAATATCCACTTATGAGTCCCATAAATGACTGTCATTGTGATCTTAAGGGTGCAAACGTGTATTCAGAGGACTTCTGTAGGTCCCGTGTCAGGTGACGGAATTGGAAAAAGCCTTTTTTTATATTGCAGTCACTAACTTTAGATTATTGTAACCCCAGTGCCGGTTTTGAGTGTTTTTCACAGGCCAAATTTACAGTGTGCCTGTTAATGTGTTAGGCTACAACATCAAATAAGGTTGGGTTTTCTCAATTGCATCCTGCCAGCATGAAGGAGTGCTTAGTTTCTCTATTGCGAGTCAATGGAATGTTGTTGGTCCTGAAGTGTTGGTGAACCCATCCTAGATTTGACAAGTGACCTTATGACAACTCAGCCTTTTTTGCTATGTTTTTACCCCCCCCCCCCCCCCCTCCTCCTTCTACACGTGTTTATCATCCTGCTCACTAGAAAGATACAACAGCCTTTTTGTACATGTCATCGTCGCATTATTTAAAAACCAAAAGTCAAATTCCCTCCTGCTTCTGTCTTGTTGAGTCGCGTGCGGCGACTGCAGCCGTCACGCAGGAAGAACAACATTTCTGAAATGTAGTTCCTGTGGCGTCTTGTTTCTGAACGTGTTAGGATGCAAAGACGCGTCTGTTTTGCATCCTATGCCAATTCCCCTCGCTGGATGTTGAGTCGCTGCAGAAAATTGAAATCATGAAAAATGGCACAAAGTGGAAATGAATATTAAAAATCAATTTTGACCATGGGTCCATGTGTTTGCTGTGTATGTGTATGTGTGTGTGTGTGTTATAGCGGTTATGATTGTTCCTCTGCAGCTCATGGGGGGGAACACAAAGAGGAAATGTTCTACTAAAAAGATAAGTTTGTAACTTTGGAAGATATCCTCCATATTTTAAAAACTTTTAAACATTTGAATACTCTTTTCCACAAAACTGGATTTTTCTCCCCCGTGATTTACATTGAAAGTTAATTTAATGTCCAGTATGAACATAATTCATTTTTTAAGTGTCCATATGGCACCTTACTATTATTTTATGAACGGACTTCAAACATGTGAACCTATCCTTCATGTATTTTTAGAGAGAAAAAAGTAGAATAGGGAAAAATAGTAAATCCTACCATCAGCATTTGTTTTTGTAAACGTTGACTAATTCTTACAGTGAGTTTGTCTTGGTTCCGTACACGCAACCTACCAGCACAGCCAATCGCACTCATCATTCCACCGACTATCTGAAAGTGAAAGTAAGAAGTAACTACACACTGCATGTCCAGCCGAGAGTCAAAGATTTGTCCCAACACTGGAGAGACGTCGCCTTGTCGAGGAGCGTGTACGGTGAGTTTGACGTGACACATTATTGTGGGGTGGGCAGCGTGGCGTGACACATTGGAAGTCTACGTGTTACATACCTTGTGTGTGTATTAAGTTAGTGAGCGGTGACATAGGGCAGACGCACGGTAGCTCAAACTGACCTACAGTATGTCCAGTAATGAATGGCGTTATGTGCGTCTATTTTATTTTGTTACGGTTATTGAAGCGGCAGTGGAAGGAGGCGAACTTTCAATGTATCTAATCCTCGAATATATATATATATATATTTTATTTTTAAGTCACGATGAGGAAATGTCTCGACTCGCGTTTATTCAAATAACCTCGCGAGCTCGACCTCGCTCCAGAAGTGTCGCGAATGGAGTTTTTTCAGCGCCTTCTCTTTCAATAGAAAAGAAACGCTGGGCTTAAGGTGTGTGCTGATAAAGTGTACACAACAGTGTCTGGGGCAGAGATCATAGACAAGATAACACGACCGGGCAGTATTTATTTGGCGCAAGATAAGCAGACAGCGCCAACCGCGATTGCTTGAACTTTTGCTAACAATAAGAGTTGACAATGTGCAATCAATCATTTGCGTTGTTTTGGAAATACGAAGAGACTACATTAAAAAAAACAAGTAAAATCTTGAATCAGTTTTTATTTTATTTATTTATTTTATAGGAAGTCTGTTTTGTCCTGAAATAGTATCTGAAACACAGTTAGTAGTGCGGATGTTTCCCCCCTTTGGTTCAGCCATAATTAATGATTAGGTAAAAGTTTAGTTAGTGCAGCAGGTTTGCACCATGATGCAACAAAACTACATCAGATTGCTGTTAATTAAATTTAGACAATGGGAACAACACAATAAACCCAGCACATTTTCAGCCCTTCCTTCATGGGAAAGTCAGCCCAAACCTTTGTTCTATAAATAAACGTCCCACATGTGGTGGCCTATAAGCACCCAACATTAAGGGTTGGTAATCTGGGTTTAACTTGAACTGTAATTGCAATGTGTCTGCAGCACAATTGAAGAGCACTTGCGAATGGCCAACTCGGCATGCGAAGGTTCACTCTGTCCTCCGCTGTTTATGTTTAGTGTCAGTTGGTGTGATGGCGATGCAACGATCCCGTGGGCCTTTACATGTGCTTCTGTAACCTCACTGGAGGAGTACAAAAGGCCGCTCATTTGCCTGTGCTTTTGTAGAGTTCTGACTGAGTGGAAGTTGCACAAGGGCATCATGATAAAAGTGAGGACTTGACTCACTTGACCGACATGTTGATATCCTTTTTTTATGACTTCAAAACACTCCTCAGCCAGAAGATGAAAAGAGTTCGTTGGAAAAAGACAAAGATACTTTATGTTGGTGCCAACGTTCCCAAAGGCGCTCCACCACCTCCTCTGTGAGATTCAGGGATTCCTAAAAGTGGATGGGGTTGTCAGCTAGTGTCACGTCAGCCGGGCCGCTGTATCAGCTCATATTATTTGATCACAGTTAGGCTGGTATTGTCATATTTTTTGGGCTAATTAGCAACAAGAAATAGCAAAGCAAACAGTGACGATATTGCATTGACAGGTTTACTCAGTAGCCTACATGTCTTGGTCACAATTCTTTAAGAGATTTTTAAATATAATTGTGCAGGGAGTCCTGGTGGTTATGTGGTTCAGATTTATGACATATAGCCGGTTTGTCATACCCCTGTCTTTCCCCTCATAATAATCATATTATAATTACTTATTTTCCATGTAAAAAACAACAACACACAACAACAGCCAATATATAGTTATTGGATTTTTAAACTGTCAAATATCTGCATGGATCGAGCCATAGTCTCAACTCTCAGCCTTTCTCCGCCTACATTTGCTTAACCTCCCAGTTATTAACTCCCTAGAGCTCCTGAGGAAGAGAGGCTGTCAGCTCGTTAACGCTGTTAGTGTCCAGACAGGAAGTGCACAGAAAGGCCACAGAAAGTTTAAAACAACTCTACTGTATGTTTAGTATATATATATATATATATATATATATATATATATATGTTTAATTAAGGCAGATTCTGATACTGTTCATTAGAAATCAAGGTCAGAAGCTGATAACCGGTATTTGGAAGTGAAAAAATGTAAATGTTAATATAAAATTTAGAATATCACAAACTCCAACACAAAACTTTGTGTAAATGCCCTTTAAGCATATGTTTAAGTAAATGCTGCAAAAGATAACTTTTCAATGTTATCTTTAAAATGCAAGATGCAAGCTCCACGAGGCTAAATCTTATTGGCTGGAAGTATTTAAAGAAAACAAGCTGATAAAGGAGATAGACGCACACTAAGTATGCATTCTTTTCCTCGCGGCAAACTGACATCCTCAAACTTCTCCATTTTCTTGGCCCATCCTCGTCTGCATAGTCAGAAAACGTTGGATGTGCACGTACAAGTGAAAATCTGCACATAACGCACATAATTGCAACGGATGGCAGCATGTGACCGGTCCCTCATGACGGTGTGTATCCACAACCCCAGGGTTTGATAAGCAGGATGCGCTGTATCTGTTCAGTCTGTTAACAATTCCCAGCGTGGATTTGTGGGAGAGTGCAGATGTTTACTTTCCTGTGTCCAAGAGTTTCACATCCGCCACCCCACAGCTGCAGTGGCTCGATTATCCTTTTGGGGAAAGCCCTTGCGTGTGATATATAATCGTACTGTTCTCCTTTTTCTGACTCATTGTCCAGGTGGAATGTAGGAATTCCCCAATCACGTCTACAACGACAAGTTGTTCAGGCAGAAGGAGTGAGTTCACACAGGTGAGGGGAAGGGATCAAAATAAACTGAAGTAAAGTAAGCAAAGTATATTAAAAAAAGGCAGTGTGTGTGTGGGAGTGTGCAACAATCATTCTGAAACGAAAGAAAAAGGAGCATAGGGGGGGGGGGGTTCTCAGAGGCATTTGAAAATCCGGAGGATATTGCCCAATCTCTGGCGACTCAGAAACTCTTCAAGCGGTTTGACAAAACAATCTCTCTGCTTTCTTTTTCAGTATGACCCTTTGTCTGTTTTAATGTGCGGGCTAAAGCGTCATTTCAAGTGCAAGTAAATAAACACACACACTTTAAACAAGCAGGTTTCATGTTAGGACGCCAGTTACAATATGAGAAACGACGAGCAGTAAAGTGTGATCAGAGGTTTTAACTGAGGCTCTCGTTTCCTTTTATTTGATTAGGTATCAAACCACTTTCAGGAACAAATGTTTCAAATAAGCATATAGGCTGTAAAAAGCTACGACATGTGGAATTTGTTGTCAGTTACCTTATTTATCTGTTTCATAAACATAAATCAATGCACACCCACACAGAAGAATGTATGCTCTGGAGACCTCTGGCTCCCCCCTTCGCTGCGCAGCTGCAGTCACAAATGCAGTCGAAACTGCATCTTTGTGCAGCTTTAAAAAACCGACAAACCGGTCTAGCTTTGGCAGAACAAGGTCTTTTGGATTATTGACTGTGTGTCTTATTTCCATGAAATAGCACGAGACGGTTGTTTCACTCTTTTATTATGCAGCAGGATACAAAGGTTGTGGAAAGCTCAATAGTTTTGACCACATGCAGAAGCAGTACAGAAGATCCGGGGTCCTTTTCTACTTGGCAGTCGGGGCCATTTTGGCTTCATGCGCCACTCTGCCCACTTATATTCCATGAAGCTTCACAGCACCGGTCTACCTTTTTTCCCCTGTGCGTTGTTGTCGGCTAGGTGTGGGCAACACAACCTCTCTCGAACAAAATGACGCATGCATGCAAAGTCTTCACCCGGCACGATGAGGTCAAATTACAAAAAGGAACAAAAGTGAAAATGAAAATCTAGAGAACAAATTAGGAGAAGCTTTCCAAACTGCCAGAGGGTATAAGGACACCGTAATCCAATTTGAACTAGAAACCCTGATCTCGGTGCTGTGATAAAGTATCCCAGTGTTTCCGTTGTATACATTTTGCCGACAGAGTGAAAGCCAGGCTTACTACAGATGGTGTCATTGTTCTTTAGAAACAAAAGCGACAATTGACCCGAGGCCTGTTTTAATTACTTTCAATACTTGAAGGCCAACAAGTAACACAAAATCCCCTTTTTCATGCACATTTAGCTTATTTGTTCGACCTTTATCATACCTTCTTCAACAAGTAGACATTTGCAATTGCATTGAAAAATGCAATCTCTCAGCATCTCTCACAACAAAACAGCAAAAGGCCACACAGTCATAATAAGGGTGGCAGTTAAGGGTTCCTTATGCAGTTACCCGCATTGTAAAACCACCACAGCGCCTGTAAAATCCTCTGGTAAGGTAATCAATCTTGTGCAACCAGCACAGGATTGTTGCAAAACATGCTGGCACACTTTCTTTTTTGTTTTTGCAGTACAAATATGTAAGTAAGTGCATCCTGGAGCACCACACTTTTAAATTGCTATTATCATGATGTGATTAATGTAATAATCAGACATCTTTGGTGGTTACATTTGTCTTGATCAACACATAATGAACTGTTTGTTCTGTCATTTCAGGTAAATGAACATGGCCTCAATGGGTATCCTCCTTATTTTCACTGTCATCTCAATCAGCATAGGAAATGCAAAGACAGGTAAATTCTGCCTAAATCAGAGAATTTGAAGTACGAAAGTCTGCTTCCTAGTGATGTAACTTCTCATCCTCTCATATTTTCTCCTACAAAAGGATTTATAAGTCTGGAATGCAAGGCTGAAAAGCTGGGACAGTATGGCCAGCAGTCGCTGCTAGAGTGTGTCATCAACGCCCCAGACGACGACACGGATATCCGGGTGGTCACCTGGAAGAAAGCCTTGCGTTCCTTACTGGTCTTTGATGAAGGGAAGTTTACAAAGAAGCAGCCAGGCTATTCATTTGCTGAGCCGTCCTGGAATAACAGAAACATGAACGTGTCCCTGCTCATCACCAACACTGCAGTGGAGCACGATGGACTTTACGAATGCATGGTGGTGACAGACAGCGGTACTGACTACAAAACCACCAGCCTTAAAGTCACAGGTGAGCGCCTCCAGCCTCGTGGTCGAAACATTTTTAACAACTATTCGGCACGGAGAGGTGACCGATTTGAGTGTAGTGTTCATCTTCAAAACTAATCCCGACTCATTTCAAAGCTAAACTGTGAGTCAAGTTGATTCTGTGAACATTTAAACAGAAAATGTGCTTGAAGAATGTAATTGTTGCCTTGAAGATTATTTAGAGATCCAGGGGACTTTCCTGACCTATCCTGGTATTTCACTTTCTGTCTTTATGTACTTTCAGTTTCAGTGTTACAAATAATCACAGCCAGTGCAGGGGCCAGCTTTTTTATTTGTCTTTTTACCACATATTGTACTAGATAGTACTCTTCACATATAATGGTCAACTTAATTTTGCGATACTTAATTGGTGTCGTTTGGTTGACGTCACGGTGCAACGTTCAGCTTCATGATCGCGTGTTTTTTTCGTTTCCTCTTTGCAGCCAAATACAGCGAACCAACTATCCTCTCCAACCCTGAGGTAATAACTCTGGATACAGGCGGTACCCTGACGTGCGAGTCTGGTCACGGCTACCCAGAAGGCAAACTTCGCTGGTTCGATGAGCTCAAAGGGGAGCTGACAAAGGACACTCAAATGGAGGTGAAGGTGACCAAAAGTGGTCTGTTTCAGCTCTCCAGCAAGCTGGTTTTGGGGCAAGGATCCAACATCTCCCAATGCATCTGCAGTGTGTTCAATGCCAGCGCAGGCAAAGAGGAAGAGACCACATTTAAAGTACTAAACACACCAAAACCTCCAGGTATTTGCTTCACACAATAAAAATGTCATACAGCGATTTCGGCTTACTGTCACATGTGAGGTCATGCTTTACCTGAAATTTAAATGACATAAACTGACCTAGCGCATGTACGGAAGCGCATGTTTTGTGTTGGCGCAGGAGGTCGTTTCCGGCAGAAAGAGTAAAAATTGTAGTTGGATGGAGCTTGTTGGTCATGAAAGAAGAAAGAAAAGAAACATCTCGGCATGTCCGTTTACAAGCCGTGTAAATATTGAATGCTAAGAAACCGAGAGGAAACAGGCTATAAATACTAAAGACATGTGGAAACCAGTGATAACATCAACAAGCAAGACTGCAAGGAAAGTTCTGCCGATCGCTCGTTTGAAGGTCCTGTCTGGCGCATGATATTATATAATTTACCGTCAATATAATTTAACTTCAAGACAGCAAGTTGTGTAGTGTGGACAGTACAGCGATCTTTGACAGTGGGAACTTGGCTTAAATCTGAAACCTTTTTAAAACTCCCAACAATGCTCCTCACAAGGGAAGAAGACTACGCAGCCCTGATGAGATGTCTTCAGTTCCTTGCGCTCTCGTTGATGAGAAAACTTTATCAACAGTTTAACTTTGGCGACCCCTCGAGGAGTAAAAGAGAAAGCGACTGTAGGTTGCTGAAGTATTACAGGGGGGGGGAACTTCCCATCAGTGCATGCACACCTCATTTGAATCAAGTGCACTTACATCTTTACTGTTTTTGGTCTCGACCTGAAGTATGAGAGCGTTAAAACAATCTTATTTTTGTTCAATTTGATTCATTCAGAATTTCAGAAGAAGTTGGATCCAGCCACCAAAATAGTGGCTCCCCTGGTGGTCATCGGATCGCTGATCATAGGGTTGCTGCTTGCGCTGCTTTACAGAAAACGATCTCAACGTGAGTACCTACACAGGCCCTCGTTGGGCTCAAAATGAACCGATACATATATTATTGAGTATTAACACAACTACAAAAGGTAGAAGGGAGATTAACAAACGGTGCTGATTTCATTTATTACAAGATTGCATCACATTCACCATTTCAGACTACACATCATTAGCTGCAGTTTTCTTAATAAAATTATTTTTTAATAAAATCATTGAGATATTCCAGAAGGGACGGTTTAAGTCCGTCTTAAAACAATAATCAGGTTCCCCCTAACATTGAAAGAGGTTTCGGGTTATTCTTCCTGTTCACACTTCCTTTAAACTCCGATAAACAGCAGTGCGTAGTGACTTGCAGCATTACTGATGTACAACTGCAGACATACTATAGCACTATTGTTATGATATCTGATCGGGAAATTTGAATACTAACGCTCTCAAATGTTGTGTGGGATTTCATCAGTTAGGGGTGCAACCCATCACTAAACTTGTGGTTCCGATCTTTTCGTGGTTTTGAGTCACGGATCGGACCAGCAGAGGAAAGAAAGGCAAAAACGGAGCAAATATAACTTGAAGAGATGCCGCAGGCTGAGAGCTAATGTCAGGAGGTTTAGCAGCTCATAATTCCCTCTCAGATATCTATTTTATATCGCTGTGAGAACATACCCAACTGTATTTATTCTGGTGTCTTACCAACAAACAACATCGTACTAGATTACATTTAACATCACAATAGTAGGAGCTGGGCAAAACTGTAGAACACCTGGCAAGTAGCCAATACTGTTCAGGACAGGAAAGTACACGCTGCTGCTTTGTTTAATTAAATCAAGCCGTGTGGGTGCTGCAAACCTCTCATGAGGCCAACACACAAAATGGCTCACAAAGATTGGTTTGGTAGGACACAAGTAGATATCTGATTTTCATTCTCCCATCGTTTTCTTCACAGAGGCCCGAAGACACTCCACAATACCCCTTATGGGTACGTCCATCTTTGGACATACTATTGCTGCTGTTTTTGTTCCACATTTGTCTCTTTTGAGAGGTGTAAATGAAAGGTTCTATCTGTTGATTCTTCTACCTATCGACTAGTTTTAGCTGCCTACAGACCTTCTGACGCAATAATGAGTGGTTTGTGTTTCACTGATGAATAGTTGACTCAGTCTGACTCTGGGACAACATCAAAGCAAACTCACTCCCTGTGTACAGACACATTTTTGATCTCATTCCAAGCCTGTTGAGGCATGTACTCCCGCTGTGTTTTAAACGTTAACTAAGTGGGAGCACATGTTGATCACTGACAAAAGAACTTAACTGTCCCTGCACTGACTGGGTATCAACGCATCTAAACTTCTCACTGGGCTTCCTCTGACTGTAAAGATGTCTGGGGAAGCACAGTGATATTAACTAGGATATAGATTATAGCCTTTTTCCGTGGCTTGTGGGGAAACATGGGCTCGGTCACTAATCACTTTTTAGAATCTAACCTGACTCTTGTTTCGGACGCTCACCATACGGGACCTGCCTCTGCTTGCTTGTCACAAACTTGCTCAATGTGGTGATGGTTTGACGCCCTCCCATTGTAAACAAACATTAACATCTTTTGATTTCTTCCAGGTAACCATCGCATGGTCCGCACATCAGATGGCGAGGAAGGTATGTCAGAATGACAGTATTTTGACTCACTGTGTCTCACTAATAAAACTTCAAATACACTCTATAACAAATAATTCAGGCTTTGATATTAAATCTTTTTGCAGGTGATGAGAAATGCTAAATAAACTTGCCGATAAAGAAACTTGGCCTGAGGTAATTATAATGCTCTCTATAATATTTGCAGTCTTCAATACAATATCAGATATCTGAAAGCTCTCTCTCCCCCCCCCCCCCACAGGAGTCACTGCGAGTCACATCACATGTGCAAATTTACTGGCAGCCTCCGAAATCAACACTTCCTTTTTTGCTAATCTCCACTCTATCGTTGTACTTTGCCTATTACAAACAGCTAAGTATATATAACCAGGGATAACTTGTATTACTGTGATTGTAAGTGCTTCATTCATCTAAACGTACTAAGAAAACACTTTTAAATCAATTTAAATGAAGGATCTTGACTGATTTTAAATCAGTGATGGATTTAAAACTCTGACAACCACAATGGGAGCAATGTGTAACATCACCGAAAACCAACCTGATAATTTGGATGGCGGTTGATCTTGTTTCGGTTGTTGGAGGAGCTGTTTTGTTTAATTGTGCTCACGCATTAACTCTAGCCTTTGGCAACTTGGCAGGAGTGGCCCTCCCTCTTACTCCCTCTTGTCACGTCATGTCAATGTTCCTAGGAAAACTTTGAATCATGTTAATATGACGGGGCAGGGGGTTGTGTGCGTGTGCGTATGTGTGTGTGTGTGTGTATTCTGGGGAAATGTAACCGAAGTTGCTAGTTTAGTAGTCTGATTTTACAGATTTTTATTTTTTGCCTTTTTCACATTCCACAACTTGACAAGTAGCCCTAGTTTTGTGATTGTGCTAAAAGAAAGAGTTCAACTATATTTTTCTTACTGTGAACAAATCCCATGAAAAAAACAACAGTGGCATTGACTCAAAGTATACACTGTTAGAAATAAAGGTGCAAATTAGAACCTTAAAGGATCTTCAGCGTGTCCTCATAAAAGCACTCTTTTGGGTTGCTGGAAGAACCTTTTATAAAGGGTCCTGAACCCTTTCAGAGGGTTCTACCTAGAACCATATGGGAAAAGTTCCACCTAGAACCCTCTCAGGAGCTTCTGTCTCGAACCTTTCCACCTTCTAAGGGTGCTAACAAGAACCTGCCCAGGGGGTTCTACCAAGAACCCTTTTATATAATGAACCATCTAGAACTCACCCACGGGGTTCTACAGGGAAACCTTTTATATTCCACGGGTTTCATCTAGAACTCGCCCGCGGGGTTCTACAGTGAAACCTTTCACATTCCAAAGGTTTTATCTAGAACCCCGAAGGGCCGGGTCTGATCTGGTGCAGAACAACCCACAACAATCTCAGTTTTTTGGGGTGTGTGGGCTATGGTTTTCGACAATAAAGAACTCTTTATTTGAATAAAGGGTTCTTTGCATGAAAAGGGTTCTTGTAGAATATCACCAGCCTTTTCCTTTTTAAGGGTCCTTGTTCAGAAGTTTCTCATTGTTTGTTTCCTGCTTAAAGACTTATACGATCAACTGGCCAACTTTGAGTGCAGTGTTGCCCCTCACTGCCTGAGAATAGTCAACCCCAGCAAATCTCATATCCTTATTCTAACCACTGAGGAAGTACACAAGATAGAAGCTGGACGCACTTCCGCACGTCACATGATCTTCACTTACTTTCTATTGGAAAATAGTGTGTTGTGGTAGAAAGCCAAAAACACATGTTTATGTTCCTCTGGCTGTCTTAGATGAAACTGTTTATGTAACTTTTAGCAGCAGCGAGCAATTTCATTGCCAAATCAACCCTTGTCTTCAGGCAGGTTTCTTGTTTCATTCTTCTTTTCATCTGACACCAGCTCTCATAGAAATGTGCGCCCATATACTCATCATCATTTCTGATCTGAGACCTGCTCCATAATGGAGCAGTGGTACTGACACCACCAAAGGCAAAGTTGAGAGTTAACAAGAGAAGCACCTTATCAGCAGGCACAAAGTGTATAATTAATCTTGGTCCCTGACACAGAGTTAATCATTGACTTTTTCGATCGAGAAAAATGCCATTAAGCTTTTAATTTGAAAGATCATTCTGGAAATTAAAAAACACTTAACAGAAGAGCATTGTTTTTGTTTTTTGTATATACTGTTTTTATATCTCTGTGAAATTGTAATGCTGTGTGTCTGTAATGACTTTCACTACTGTGTTTTTATGATTAACATTCACTGTCACAACTGATCTGTGATTTATTTCAGTGTAATTAAACACATTTACCGTGTGAATGATTTTTTTGTTGTTGTTGCTGTGCACTCATGTAGATTATATTTCAGACATGGCTGTACTTGTCAATGTCAGCAATGTATTGACATGGTAAAAACCAACGTCACTTTTCTGGTAATTCTCCCTCCGTTTCATGTGAACACAGATATTATGACATCATTTCTGATGGAAAATGTTACAACACATTGACATCTCCAGATGCATTGGCTGGTATTCAAGTTTATCTTAATGATTTGATAACAGTGTAGTGTTCCCATGCTCGTATCTCTTTCTCTTTCTATTTAAAAAATAATCAGTTGCATCTTTGCATGCCTACACACGAAAAGAAATTCTGGCACACGTTAAAAAATGTTTTTATTCCAGCCTTATTGTTCTCTCTCTGCTCATGAATGTTGTGTCTTGTGTATACTTTTTGGAACAGAACTAAAAAATGGCTTACTGTGATACTGCACTTTATTCTGAAAGCCTTTGACTCTATAGATCAACTGTCTTATAACTATTCCTTCTCTATCAGGCTGAGATGTTTTCAGTCAATAAACACGAATTATATCAGATAATTGTCACCCAGATTTAAGGCGAATATTGGAGAATTCAATCCATCTCAATCCTGCCATCTATTGGACAAATAGCATTACAACATGTTGGGGCAGAGCAGCACAGATGAACGACATTTCCATGCATTTCCTCAGTTGACTTTTTCAAATCACAGCTAACACCAGGGGCGTCGTTAGGCCTATTTTAGGGGGGCTGAAGCCCCCCTAAAATGTTCTTCAGCCCCCCCAAATAATTTGGCATTATTGGCTTTAAAAAAAAAGAAAAAAAAAAAAAAATTTTCTTTTTGGTGATGTCATTAAATTAAACTATTGTTTCTCACATGGACAAGTTATTTATAACTCTAACATGCTACATATGTGCGTGCGTTCTGGTTTGTATGTTTTCTCCCCTTTCAAATTACAATCCAATAGCCCATCATCACACTTAACGATATAAAGTTAACACTGTCAAGTCCATTCTCCATCCATTGTGTGCGGTCCCTTTAAGAATTAGGATTTGGGAGTGACGCAGATATGAAAGCTACTTTATCCGTCTTTCCTTTACAAGTAGGAAAATTATTTCTCTCTCTTTATTTGAGAAAAGTTCATATTTGTGTTGTCAAATTTCACTATGACCCTGAAATTCTGTCTCTTGTGTTATCATATACTGAATGCAAGCAAAACTACAGAGCAAAATCACACTCTTTCTGATTGAACCAATCTATGAACTGTCTGAAACAATGGATATCCGCGGCCCCAAATGGCCCCAAAAAAAACATGCCACTCCCCTTGGGGCTAAGCCCCCCCTTTCTATGTATCCTAGAAAGGCCCCTGGCTAACACATGAGAAAAAATCGATACAATGCTAAACAAACAAAAAAACATTGCACTGACACAGAACAAACTGGCAATGAGCAACATATTGATGGTGCATGTATAATCATCCCATATACAGATGTGTTTCGTATTCCATTCCTCACCCTAGGTGTGACATCTCTGCAGACGCTCTCTCTCATCTTAAAAGTTGATCTGGTTACACAAACACCCTCTGCACTTGAAGAGTTCACCGCTCATTGAGGAGGAGTTGAGTAGAAACACTGCTGCGTTCCCAAACATGGTCCTGGTATCTGGTGCTGCTTTACAGGCCTCTGCGTGGGAGTGAGGGGGAGCGATATAGCATGAGGAAGGATAGATAGTTGTATGTTTGAAATATGATATTGTGTTTTTATAGAGGCTGCAGTTTACGGAGCTGTTGAATTCCATTTTTTGCTGACAGGTGTTTATATTATTTTGTTGACCCCAGAAATATCAATTAGGGTTGGCCAAATAACAGATATTATACATACATACATGTATATATATGTTTTTATAAGAAGATATTCCAAGGTTAGTTGTTATAGTTGGGGGCTGACTGTAGAGGGAGTTTGATGAGCCCCAGATCTGCGCAGTCAGATGAAAAGGAAATCTGTTTCTGCTGCTTTTATGAAGAAACAAGTGCCAGATAAGCTCTCCTGTACACTGAGAGGAATGCACTTTCAATGAGTTCCTCATTGTGAATCTGATTGCAGTGCAATAGGCAGAAGCAAGATGTTTTTAAGGGGTTGTTCCATGCAGATGACATCAGGGCCCAGAGAGAGTCTACTTCTGCTTGTCTATAGGCCCACAGCCTTCAGTGTTTATGACTTGGGTTTTAATGTGGATGTGCAGATTGTCCACTTAGTGTGAGTACATCCAAACCCACGTACATCACATGTAAGTCCACGACGGGTTTCAAATCTGCAGGCTACATCCAGCCAAGACCACTTCTGACCGTCACTATAGGCTCAGAACAGGGTAAGAATTCTGGTATCTTTTCAAGGCAACATTTAAAAAGTCCGCCCAGTGAACGAATGACCATAGACTTTCAAGTGTGGTCTGGAGAAAGATGTTCGTCGAAGGCCACTGCTGACCATTTGTGGGAGTTCAGAGCAGAGTCGGGGGCGTTGATTGCAGGTTGAGCAATAGATTAGTTGTTGATTGTTGTTTATTTTTGAATGTAAGGGGGTTCTGTCAGTGGCTACAGAACTTAATTCTGTTAGTGTTGTGATGTATTGTAGTATACTGTAAGGTGTTCCTGTTATTTTGTCCACCACCATTATGTTGAAAGATTTTGTTGACGTTGCTGTTTTTTTACATTTTGTTGAAGTTATAAATCCTCCACCAGTTGGTGATCTCAACTCATTCATTAAAGAAACTAGACAGATGCATGCCGTGTTATGCCTGGCAGTCAGTAGCAGTATAAAAACATGCTACCGATCGCATGATCCTCTGGGCGGAGAAAATAATCTCTATATCTATCTATATTAATGTCAAATAATACGAGTTACCGGTAAGGTAGATATACTGTGGGGTTAATGAGGCAATGGACCTTTTTTCACAGCAGCCATCTTGACTTGTCACTGCGGGAGAAGCACAGATTAATAGTGTCTCAGTAGCATCAAGTATCCCAGTAAGTCATGCTAGTGAGCCAGCATGAACAATACCAGAACCCTGGAACTATAGCTCACCTAAATGGAAGGCAGTAGTTTTTAACACTTTATTTTTTATTGCCTTTTAATCTTAGACAGAATACAATAAGGGAAAAACAAAAACATGAAAAGGATCCGGATTTCTCTGTCTCCTCAAAAACTTAACAATTCCCGAGACACATTCAGGGGTTCTTATCTTGTCTTATTATTGACACGTAAACATGGTGCATTCCTCCCACTTCTCACAGCATCGCTCCTCTTGAGCTCTTATCTGATGATTTAATACTTCCATATCATATGTTTTGTTCACAATGATCTGCCATCCATCTTGTGATGGTGGTTCTGCCTTCTGCCATCTCTTTGTAATAGACTTGTTCTCATGACTCCTGTCCTATTACCAAAGTAGAGCAACACATGACTTAGGTATCACAGGCCAGAATTTTGACTATAACAATATGGACATTTCTCCAGAACTGTACAATTTCAGGACACGACCAAAGTACATGTGAATGGTCTACATTGACCACCCCAACATTTCCTCCAACATTGAACAACAGACAGATATTTGCTTCTAATTTGGGAGGTAATAAAGAATCATATTAAATTCTTCTAACAATGTTCTCTCAAAGTATGCGAGGAGGTTGAAGACTGTTGTGTTCTCCAAATATACAACCATTCATCTTCTGTCATATTCACACCTAGTTCTTTTTCCCATTTCAGTTTTCCATAAAATGTTTGTGTTTCCAAATGTACCATTAGGCGGTTGTTTTCAATGCTTTTCCTGCTATGAAAAGCCAAAATGCCTGCTGTGACAAAGGTCTATGGAGAGTGGGAGGAGTAGGTGACCTCTGGTGGTGAGGAATGGATCTAAAATGAGAGCAAAGTTAGTGCACTGGTAGAGGTAATTCATCAGAAGCAGGTGACGTCTATATTTATCTACAGCCAAAATATACCCAATTAAAAGACCCTTTTCCACAGCAGGCATTTTGACTTGTCTTAAGTGTTGACTAACACAGGTGTCAACCAGTGTGACACAGCATCACACCACATCAAACGGGAAAGGAAGCACTGTTTGCGTGCTGTCTATATGTGAGAGACAAAAACAGCGTGCAGTCAGTGCTGCAAGATGAAGCTCCTCCGTTGGTTCCCTCTGTTGCTCTGTGTTTGTGTCAATGCAGGTACATGACAATTCAATTCTCTTAAAACATTTGAAGAATTTTTTTAAAGCTGTACAATTTTATTTGCCTGCTTCCAGAAATACCGCGTAGATGTTTTTCAATACCCTCTAATCAGACAGTTTGTCCCACTTTTTTATGACAGAGAACAACGCACTGTGGCGAGAGTCTGGCGAGAACGTCACCTTGAGATGTTCCTTCGGGGGATGTTCCAGCAGCATCGAAGGGTATGACGGGATGTATCTGTATCACAACCGCACGAAGCAGAGACAGGTGCTTTACTGCCTCATTGGAGGGGCAACTGATAAAATCACACCGGCTCCTAGCTTCGGAGACAGGATTCAGACGGAGAGATCTCTGAAGAACCTCATCGTCACCATCAGCAAGCTGACTGTGAACGACTCTGGCTTCTACAGCTGTGTCTTCGTCAAGTTTAAAGATCGTAATGTGCAATGCAGCGTCGACACACTTTTTGTTAGAGGTGCGTCTTTTTCTTTTATCTTCTTAAAAACTACACAAGGGTAGTGACCCAAGTACAGTACTGTGCAAACATACAGTACACACCTTTTTTCAGTTGTTTAATTCGATGTTATACTTCCGGCACTCTTCATAAGGAAATACTTCAAAGGGAAATGTACTTTTTACTCCACCAAGTGTGATGGCTATTACAGTAGCTCATGAAGATACATACAAAACATATATTTATAAAATATGATAAGTTCATAAAGATATTAAACTGGATATAAAATGGGTATTGCATTTGGGTTTTGTTGACCCCACTTCTGCAT